CGTGCGTGCGTGCGTGCGTGCGTGCGTGCGTGTGTGTGTGTGTGTGTGTGTGTGTCTCGCGGGGGTGGGGGGTGTACCTTCTTAATCCAAAACAGCTGTAGTGATACATAAAAAAGTGTTAATCCTGCATCTTATAAAAACGGTTTCAGTGCCGGTAACCGGGTAATCGTATGTGGGTATTGATGTTTGTAGGATTGAATCGTCATTCTCTGTGGTTTTGCTAAAATATTTGCTCTAGGTATTTGTTTTCCTGGGTGAATGACACGACCCCCGTCGACTTTTATGACTAAGTAGTCTCAGTATAACGCAGTACACGTGACAGCACATACGCTGTCAACACGTACCGTTATCTCACTAGTACCACCTTTCCCCTAAATAATGCTGTATATAAATAAATGAACTATAAATATTTAAGACTTAGAAAATTAGTGTGCAACGAAGCAACGAATCTCACAAGGATATATATTTATGAAAACGAATTTTTGAAAAAAGCACCATGAAACATCTATCAACAAGAAACGTGTCATAAATGTTCATGTTACGTGTTTTAAAAAAAATCTAATTATGTTTTAACAATCTTTATCAGCAAATGTAGCGTTAGGTATACACAAGAAATGTTTTATAACACGAACACCTGGTTTTGACACTTCACCATTTGATCTTGCAATATTTGCTTGAATACAATATCGGAAAATCTAGATTTCAAACTAAAGCTTTGTCACTGAGGGCGCAACAGTAACGTCATTCAACTCCAAGACAACGTATCCTTTCTGTTCGACACGCAAGTGTATACAGCACCACACAAAAGTAAACAACGTGTAGGACAAAGGCACACAAGACTCCAATGTCACATACATTGGTATAGAATTCCGATCTTGTTTGCATGTTATAATGGCATTGGTTAGTCTTTCTAAAAGTAAGGAATTTTAAACATGACAGATATTCATGGAATGTCTTAATGATCCCATTTGACAAAAGGTACGAGGGTTTGATTTCAGAGCCCTTGATTTCTACGTTGAGAGTTCGACTGAATGGCATGTGTTAAGGAATACTGAGACGTATTTTCACTATGGCGCCACGGTTGACAATACTTTCTGGAACGTCATGACAATACCTTTCTGGAAGCCACGATGCAACCTATTGTCCTGTGAAATAAAACCTGATAAATAAAAAAAAGTGCTTACTATTGCGTCCCTAGACGACGAGTCTTTATTTTAATATGGTTATTTTCTGTAACGAAATTTAAAAATGTTTCGGAGAACATGTGGGTGTGCGAACATACATCCGGATCCGGGCATGTATGTGAGCGTGTGTTTACATGTATTCGTGGGCACATCTCTACCTACATTCAAAGTTATTCATAACGAACCAAAACAGTAGTTAGTGATAGTCTCGTAATAAAGAACGATAAAAAAAAATCCAGTTGAGACATGAAAAAAACTGACATTTATATTCAAATCCACTGTCATTACAGAGAGTCAAAGAAATACATTTATGAGAAAAAACATTTGAAAATAGGCGTATTCGATTCCATGATGACCCGTGAAGATCCGGGGTAGAATAGGTCTTCAGCAACCCCTGCTTGCCGCAAAAGGCGACTATGCTTGTCGTAAGAGGCGACTAACGGGATCAGGTGGTCAGGCTCGCTTACTTGGTTCATGCATGTCATCGTATCCCAATTGCGTGGATCGGTGCTCATGATATCAATCACTGGATTGTCTGATCCAGATTCGATTATTTACAGACCGCGTCATATAGCTGGAATATTGCTCAGTGCGGCATGAAACAACAAACAAAACAAAAACATATTTTTTGACAAAATGAAACACCTTTTTAGGTAAATGTATAAGACTGAACTTAGTAAACTCAGTGGTGGTACTGAGAATAATAAATTGCAGAGCTAGACTGATTCTGATTCCTACTGACGGTGTCCCCCAAACTCTTGTAACCTGTTAAGTTCGACATCAGACATATACATAATCGGGCAGGACATCTATTGAAACCAGGTGGACGTCGTCGGAAGGTCGCCAGTCAACGTGTTCAACAACCAATCACGGGGCATGCCCCATTCCTGCAGGGCGCTGAACGGACACGCGTGCATGACAATGCATAACTCATCATGTGTTTGTGTAGTTCAGGTCAGAGAATATGTGAAACCGACACTGACAGTATTGTTTGGACAGACAGTTAAACGTTATGGAAGACCTGCCTCGCTGTCAGTTTATGTGTCCCATGTCTCGTCAAGGAATAGCAGATGAGGTGAGGTGAAATTGGGTTTAACGTCGCGTTAACGTTGCACTTAGCGACGTGCATGTGTGTGTGTGTGTGTGTGTGTGTGTGTGTGTGTGATTGTACTGGTCCGGACTTATGCCGATTTATAGTGCAAGCTCACTGTGATACTGAGACACAGTATACTGACCCCGTGACGACCAGTCCTTGTTTTAGCCCCAGAATGCCGAGCGCCAGGCAGGGTAACAACAAGTACCATCTTTTAACGTCTTTTTGTATGATGCAGCCGGGGCTCGAACTCCGAACCTTCCGCTCTCCGGGCGGACGCTCTACCACTTGACCAGAGAGGCGGTCTCAAGGAATAGTAGATCATTTGACCTTTCTGTAGATGAAATAGAAGGGATATGCTAGGTGTAGTCCATTTTATTCGGATTTATTTATATAATACTGCGGCGGTAGATGTGTGTGAGTGTTATTTTACACCGCAGTCAGCATTACAACAACTTTACGGCGGCCTGTTAATGTGGTTGGCCTGGTACACAACTGGTTGACAGCATGAACGATGATTTATCTCATTATCGTCCGGTCACACGTCAGCCGGGAGACGTATTGTATCCCAACGTTTCACATTTAAGGGGAAACTTGCGCAAAACCTTGTGCACTGGGGGGAGGGGGGGGGGGGGGGAGTTTTCTCCGGAAGCACCACGGGGTCGGTGGCGATACGTGTTGAAACTTGTAAACGATCAGTCTGGGACAGAGAGAACCAGTGGTTGACAGCATGAGCAACGATTCACGTCGTCCGGGAACAATGGCACAATCAGCCAGGTCACACATTGTAAACACCCGGTCCTTATTGGGACAAAGAAGCCTATCATATCCCAATGAACCGTACAGGGGATTTAGACTTGAGGTTCATGTAAAATTTAGGCAAACATCTCTGATACAGTTCTGTAATACACTGTACATTCAAGGAGAGTCTATTCTGTATCTGGCGCAGGCAATTCAGTGTCTGTCAGCGGGAGCATCGATTAGAGACCAAATCAGGCAGATCAAGTCGGACACCTTTGCTGTATTTATTTGCGACAAAATGTTTGTTTCCCCACTAGGGGTGTGATATCAAACATTGACTCACATCATTTGTATAACCACACAGCACGTCTCTCCTGGCCTCCTTTGTGCTTCAGGTGCATAATTTATGTGCACAGTTGTAATTACTTCATAACTCACGTTCGCTGTTTTGACAACGCAATACGGCTTCAGGAATACCTTCAGATATGAACGAGTTTATTATGGATGTAACCATACCACAGTCAAGGACACTGGGAACGAGCGTTATAGTGCCAATGTACAGTTCACCATAGTGGCTCGTACACGTTAACCCCACCCCACTCACACCACCCCCCTACCCCCCACCCAACCCAACCAAACCCCCAACCCCCTCCCCAACCTCCTCCAGGCGTCATAAGAAACCAAATTTCAGACTGGAATGCCTAATCTTATATAAAATTCTATCCCACCTACAAAATAACATGAAGCTTAATTTCTGGGGGTTCTAACTTCGAGAACACCGTTGGACATACTAGTTTAAAGCTCTGCATGTGCACCTCAGGAACCCAGTAAACATAGCCATCTCATTACCCAGCGTTACAGAAAGGGCACAGAAAGGGTATACACTGAGTCTGCCAACTGTGTAGCTACCTTTAGTCTGTATCACAGTCAAGCTCTTGCAGACAGGGCTTTATTTAATTATGTTGAAATGGATACACCGCACATCACAAGATGGTATTTTCTCATCAAGGTTTAATTGACCACGTTCTGACTCCACTGTCGCAGGTTGCCGGGTTAATTTGCAAGATGTTTTTAATATTTTCTTGTCCTACATTTCCCAAGGATCGTATTGCATGTGGTTTGTTGTTCATCGCTGTCAGTCAAGATGGGCGGAGATGTGGATGAGTTTTCAGGATGTTAAGTGCAAAAAGTCGGCCAACATATCGCGGTAATATTTCATGACAGTTGAAGGTCATAACAGATACAAGCGCAACTTTCAATATATTTACCGTCAAACGTTCGCAGTTTCAGAGTCATAAACGTGTTTCAACAAAGCCGAAACAGATTTTGCTACAGAAAGCTTGTAAATATCTCGACACGTCGTATCCTACGGCATGCACTGATGCTGATTCGGCTCATATTTAGCGCTAGACATGTTGATATCAGGTGTGACATTATCGTCTACATAACTGTACACTCCAACGCTGAACCGTACAAGATATAACCTGAAATATAAGCTACTTGTATTCGTAACTCCAAGCTTTATAATCGTTATATGTGTTTCTGACACAATCGCACATTAATAACAGTATAGCACGATTTGTTGAGGATTCTAAATTTTTAAATCAAAAACATAAAGATTGCGTGTTGTAAACAAATTTCAAGGTTTACCCCGGTGAACAAAATCTCTTGGAAAACAATTTCCACTTCTCCTCATATCTTATCTGTCAGGCTCCATGAATAGGTGTGGATGTAGGGTTTTATCAAACGATTTCCCCACATCTCTGCGGCTCTGTTACAGCGCGTCATTTCCCTTGCAGCCCACACTTGCCAATAACAGGCAGACCCCGTTCGCCCGTTATGTATTGAATGGCCGGTGTAAATGGTAGGAGAATTAACATAAGTTGTAGCAGCGTAATCCCCTTCTGCAGGAGACCTGTAGGCACAGAGAACTGGGAAAGGGGATATGTACACACAGCAGCGGATGTCCATTGCGTCGGACGGGTTGTACATTGCACGTGAGGGATTGTACATTTCACGTTGAGGGTTGTTCATTTCACGTGAGGGACTGTACATCGCACGTTGAGGGTTGTTCATTTCACTTGGATATTTCTTACTGGAAAGCGTTTAGCAGATAAAGCGGTAAGGTGTGAGAACTTTTTTAAATTGTTTGATGAGTGGGAGAGCAGATATTTATGTTTATGACGTGGAAGCAGTTTCAGTGCAGCTTCATCATCTGTTGTGCATCACAAGATCATATCGTATTGGCCAGTGCCCAATATAATTGACTGACATGTTTTCAGCGTGCAATGCAGCAGACCGTTGTTGAACCTTGACATTGTCGTTATTCTACATTGATTGATTTTCCTTCACAAATGAAATAGTGTATGTTTCATTGCCTCATACGCCAAACAGTTCACTGTTAATAAAACCTTACACATTATTGAATGTGTCAATAACTTCTTATGCCTCTCCGCCTATATCGGTTGATAATAAATACCTTTCAGCTACCATCCCCTGGCTTCTATTTAATGTCATTCTCCACAGTCACGTTCTGTTGTATGATGATTGATTTGAATATAAGAAAGATATTAGACTGTCACCGCGGGCGTTAGGCAAAACGCGGTTTAAAAACATATAAGACTGTTGTAGGAACACTACGGTGACCTTGCACTGACAAATTGAAATTGACTCCTTATTCGGCGCTATATGTACGTCAGGACATGTATTGCAAAGTGCTAAGTTAAAAACCGCGTGACAACCCATACCAGACAGCATGAGATCTTTCAATGGTAATACAGAGAGGTGTTACCATGTACACGCGTGCAAGTCACACAGAGCACGCTTTGTAAATACACTATACTATTTAAATACTGCTATGTTTACCATTAATAAGTATTGTGTATTGGAATTCTTCTCCACCTCGCCCCCCTCCTCATTCTCCCTCTCTCCCCCTCTCCCTCCCCTCCCCACCGCTCTCATTCGCTCTACTCATACAATTCGCCTTTCTCTCTTCTTCTCCCTCTCATCTACCCCATCACTCACCCCCAAAGAAACTACCCGCGAAGATCCGGGGTAGAATCGGAAACCCATGCTTGTCGTGAGAGGCGACTAACGGAATCGGGTGGTTAGGCTCGCTGATTGATTGATGCAAGTCATCGTATCCCAATTGCGTGAATCGATGCTTATGATGTTAATCACTGTATTGTCTGGTCCAGACTCGGTTATTCACAGACCGCCGTCACTAGAATATCGCACAGTGCGGCGTTAAACAACTCTCTCTCTCTCTCTCTCTCTCTCTCTCTCTCTCTCTCTCTCTCTCTCTCTCTCTCTCCTTATCATCCCCTCAATGTCGACCAAACTTCCATGCTCCTTTCTTTAACATACCTCCTGGTCTCGTCATTTTCCGTCTTTCACTCTTAATCTCCCCTTCCGCCTACATGCCTCTACCTCTACTACCAGCTGACCTCTACTTACACATATATGATCACCCCTGACCTGCCACCACTTAAACCATGTACTAAGTGAAAGGGGTGATCCTTACTTCCCACTGTTGCCTGTCACTCCCCAATCCCCACCTCCCCTCGCGGCTGGCGTACATGTCTAGTCTAACGTGTCAACATTACCCTGCAGATTGTGTGAGGATACACCTTCGCCTGAACGTCACCGTCTAACGCTCGTCCCCCGTGCAGCATGGAGCGTCTGTAAGCGGAGCACTTTCCTCTCAACGCCCGACCCACCATGGGCACCGGTGACACTGTCACTTTGACCCTCAAGGGGGGAGCACCCTGGGGGTTTCGACTCCAGGGTGGGGGACCACACCCCCTTCAAGTTTCTAAGGTAAGAGTCTTTTTGTTCTTATAGTATAATAGTAGTCTGGCAGGACAAAAGGCTGTGGAATGTCTTGTCTTGGTATCCTCTATGGGTGTGGTATCGCGTGGTGAAGAATGGGTTGGGTATAAAAGAGGGTTATCTGCTTCTACATGTTTGAGATGCATGGTAGCAGGTATTTAAGAAATGATGACATCATTTTGTACACTGATAAATTCCAAGACTAAGTGTATAATTATGAAGAATGGTGCTTTTAAGTAATTCTATATGCTTTTGCGGTTTGTTATAAAATATTTTCGAACTAACAACCGTTTTCTAATTCATACAGCTGATATACCTATTGGCATACTTATAAAGATATAGATCTAAAGCTTACCCTATATAACGCATGAACGCATACCAATAACGCATGCAGTGCCCCTGGATGAAAACCGAGTGCTTTTCAAGTTTTCCAAATCCAGTTAACGGCAATATAAAACTATGTCAACACAATAGTTCAATGTAGGTACACCCAAGGACACAATGCGTCTCCAAATTTACTCTATTAAATTCCATCCTCGGCACAGAAGGTTATTATCTCTTAAGAACACTTTACACCCTTCAGATAGACAATACAACCCATGTACCACCGTGTACTCTGTTTACACGCGACCGCTTGCACTGAGCAGCGGGTACGAATAGCGAGTACTCATGTCTTAATATCAGCGTCACATTCCGTATAATCATGCATGCTCTAGCCTGTTGCTTGGACCTGCAGTGACACTATAGGCACAAGGGCATGCTAGGGCATGATTCGAACTTGACCTGTCCGTACCTTAGCTGTCACTAGGCAGGGTTTATTAATATATTATAGTGCTTTGTCGGGTGTATTGCATTTTGAACTACCCATGAGTAAATATAACCCGATTAACGAGCTACGTGTTTGGGGCTCGAGAGTGGCGTCATGATTCGGAAGGCGATAGATGACCCTGTCAAGTGTAATGGGGATTCCTTTGTCGACTGTGAAAATAAATTGTGATGGGTCGGTGTCACACTTCATTATAAGGTTTCGCTCTATTGTAGTGTGTGTTTATTAGAAATGGAATTATAAAACTGCAACCGGGATAAAATCATATTACAGGCTCTGAACGTTGAAATCAATGCACTAGCCGTGGGTACATACGTTTAAAGTATTAACGTTATGGTTAATCATAGTTCGGTCATATTAAGGTGTTGTTAATTTGGCTTAGCGAAGAGGGTAAAAAAACCAGCAGTAGAGTGAGTGAGTTGGGTTTAACGCTTTGAACAGTATTCCAGTTATATCACGGCTTAATGTATGAAGCCCGATTGATGCAGGTCTATGACGTTTACCACTTCGGTGTTTGTTTGTTTGTTTGTTGTTTAACGCCGCACACAGCAATATTCCAGCTATATGACGGCGGTCTGTAAATAATCGAGCCTGGACAGGCAATCCAGTGATTGACATCATGAGCATCGATCTACTCAATTGGGATAAGATGACATGCATCAACCAAGTCAGCGAGCCTGACCACCCGATCCCGTTAGTGGCCTCCTAAGACCAACATAGTCGCCTTATCAGCAAACCTTAGTGCACCGTATGATTCCGGGTTAGAATTGGTCCCAGCTTGTCGTACGAAGCGACTGTATGTATCGGGAGGTCAACTTGATTGATTGCGTGTCATCGTAACCAGTTACCATGGAACATTGCTCATAGTGTCATACTACTCAAAAGAAATTAAAGAACATCCAATTCTTTCACATTACTATTGTTAATCAATCATGCCATCTTACCAATAAACGTCTTTTGAGTAGTATAACATTTTCAAGTTTGTCTGCTCAAGTATTTAAAGGCCGCCGTATAGTTGGAATATTGGTGAGTGCGGCGTTACACAACCTACAAAAAACGGTACCTTTCTCGGTCAAAGATATCTATGTAATTCTGTACAATAATGCCTTTGTCGTAATCAGAATGCGATACTAATACAATCCAGTTTGACTATTACTTTAAGTTAAACAGAGCACGGTTCTCCAGGAGCTGTGAACGTCTGTCGACAGACATCGGCCTTCGGGCTGTTCGCGAGCTTCTTGTTTTGAATTCCTGTACGGTTGTTTTTCCTCTCGTGAGTAATGGGATTCTCAAGTAGAATGTATCACAAAACATAAGTAAGAAAGTCAACACAGGCTGAAGCGTTGGGCGCTCAGAGACAACGTCGTCTGTTTGGGTGTGCCAGACTGCGCGCCGGGATGCAGGAGAGGTATACTGTATTAGTTTGTCTCACTAACCATATACGCTCGTACAAGGGAGCAAGGGTGGCAATGCAGAGTTGCGTCCCTTGGGTTCGAATCCCGGTTCGCCCCGATTATGTTTCTAGGTTTGTCAGCACCATACCCGTGCTTGTGGGTTTCACCAAAATGGCAAACGTCTCAGACCTGATTTAGATCTAAATGACGCAAGTCTTGATTTTCCACAGATTCGGATTCTGAATCTCCCATCTCAATGGGTCTCCTTTTCAAGTTAAATAGAGTCGTTTGTTTCTTCCAAAATTATTTTTTTATCAGAGACTAAGCGTTAGTCTGGAGAATAGAGAAGTATTGACCTTTCTCAATGGCGTCTACTTTCGGCGTGTTTCGATGACATCAGGCAGGAAAGGATTAAACATTCCATAGCTTTAGATTTTCCGGCCATTGTTGATGATAGTGCAAGGAATGGCCCTCTGTCCCCTGTGATTGTCCTCCAGCATACCTTCACACCGTGATTAGGTATTTGCACCTGTTGACCCCGGAAGGAGTATGTTTTTTGTTTAACTTTGTTCGTATGTAAACAGTACCTAATTCAGCGTATTTGAACTCTGGTGAGACATACGTCTCGTGCGTAATTCGTTACATTGAAAGAAAATAGCTAACTTTTTGACCTGATTGTTTCTGAATTGGCGTGTTTCTGTTACTGAATTTGCGTGTTTGTATGTGTTGTTGGTGTGTGTTTGCGTGGCCGGTCGTACACGAATTAGCTGTTTATAAAATACAATTTGTAAGCGAGTGAGTGTGGTTTTACGCCGCCTTCAGCAATATCACGGCTTGGGACACGAGAGCCTGAGGGAATGCTTTAGCCACAAGCCCACCACATCCACCGCCTACCACAACCTCGTGTTTATGTACAATTGGTTATGTTCGCAGTGCATGCTACTGAATTTGTCTGGAAATGGATATAGCGGGACAGTGTCTTTTGTAAATCACAGTTGAACCTCCATATTTCGAATCGGAGTAATTATAAATTCTCTGCATTTTCAAGACATATTGCAAATATACGGCCATAACATACGTCTGTGGTGACAAAAATACAACATTATTTGCCATACATGTACATTAACAATAATATTATGGTATAGATATCTCTAACACCTATACACAAAATATAACCGATATTATTCAAAGGCGGTTATTTAAAAAAATATTCCACACATGTCTAAATGTTAGTTCAGTCGGTTCATGTCATAGGTTTGATATAACGGTACATTCTTTGTAAACAGGTTCGAAATAAAGAGAAAATATATGTGCGTAGAAAAGGTGTTATAAGTGAAGTAGAGGAAACTACGTTTATAACGAACACGCTTATAACGAACTGACTGGTATTTCGAACTGTTTTTTTTGTCCCGACCATTTGGTGTATATATGCTTATAACGAACTATGGTTATAACGAACTAAAATTATTGATTCTTTTGGGTTCGTTATAACCGTAGTTTACTGTACTATGTATTTATGATAATTCAACAGCAAGGAGACGAACAAACGTCAGCCATCATATTTCCATATACGTTTTAACAACTTCTCTTGTGTAAAGGATAACTCGCAAAACTAACAGACCAAAAATATTTTTTTAAATCTATCACAAAATAACGTCAACGTACATTCCAAGCATCTCCCACGACAATGTCATGATATGAAATGAGACGCCATTTCATTGAAAGTAAATACAATATGTTCATATTTCCATCCCAATATAATTTGCTGGCAGAAATCCGAACAAAGGCGTATTCGGCGTGTTTCCTCGCCCAGGTATTTCTAATGGAACACCTGCATCTGACGCGACCTGACACCTATATCATGAATCACTCACACTCCTCAAATAACGCTGTAACCAGGTCACAAGTAAATAATCTTCGCTATGCACCTACGTTACGAGTGAATTCAAATATTGATGTCTATTGTTAAATGAAAGCCTTTAGCGTTAGGTGACCTACATTGATCTATGTTAGTAAGATCATTGCTTCAGATATACCATGGCCGCACTGCACAATGATGTAGATTGACACTGTGATACCACATATCTGTATAGAGTCACTGAGTTCAACGTGATGTTTGCTTTCTGTCATATGAATACGCCTCGGTTTGCGTGCACCGTGCTTAATTAACTTACGGTTAGTTGTAATATGTAGCCTTTCTGATTTCGATTGTTACGGGGGGCACGGGTGGCCCAGTCGTCAAAGGCGCCGCGATTCGCTGTGCAGAGTTGCGTCCCTTGGGCACGCCAGAAACCTATGATTGTGGGTTCGAATCCCGGTTCGCCCCGATTATGTTTCTAGGTTTGTCAGCACCATACCCGTGCTCGTAGGTTTCACCGAAGTGGTAAACGTCTGAGACCTGCATCACTTCGGGCTTTCCTCCCACATTAAGCTGGCACGCCGTGATATAACTGGAATACTGTTAAAAGCGGCGTTAAACCCAACTCACTCACTCACTCCATTGTTACGAGTCGATTCCCAAGTTAAAACAATATGTTAATCCGAAAATATGTACGTGAAAGAATTTATTGTGAAACAAAATTAACTAGGTGGACAAATCAATACAAATTACGTAGCAATTACAATAGCAGTACACAATAGAGTGGTAGTACAATATTCTATGGCAGTATAAAATCTAAGAGCAGTGGAAATGGCAATGACAATCACAAGAATAATAATCAGCTCCCCGCAACATTGGTCAAATTACCGAGATAGGCCTAAGTTGAACA